GAAAAACCAACCCACAAACAAACAAAAGAATTACGTAACACAGCTTCCCAAGTGAAGAAGCCGGGAGTCACACTGGCGGAGTCCTGCCCCAAAGCCGTGTCCTAGACCACCCACTATTTTGTCTGGCTTGCAAGTGGAGATACTGATCTGGAAGAAGACAGAGAGACAGGGGCGCTCAATATCAGGCTGAGAAAAATGGGTTTGTCTTGAGCATGCTCAGGGGGCAGGGATTTAAGCAGGGAGGGGCATAGTCAGATTTAAGGGTTGGAAAGTTCCCTCTGGCTTGCAGGAAGATGGGCTGGAGGATGAGACTGGAGGTGGGCAGGAGGCGGCCCAGGCAAGAGCAGCTGGTGCCCCAGACCAGGGCAGTGACTGCAGGATGGGAAGAAGTGGGCCAGTTTGAAGATTTGTGAAGTGGAATAGACAGGCGTGGAGGGGAGGAGCAGGCAGTGACCACTCTCCCTGGGCACCTTCTGGCCGGTGCATTTCAACCTCCTCTGACAGTGGTCCTCCGGCCCCCTTTCCCGGACTGGAGTCTTGGAGGAAAAGACGACGGCCCAGACCTCCTCTCTGGCCCCCAGGGGGCAGTGTTGCAAAGCCTTTAGGGAGTTGAGGCCCTTGCTCCAAACTACCTGCAGCCGGGGGGCAGATGCTCGCTCCCCTCTGTGTCCTCTCCCAGCCTTCACCGCACCCCCTCCCCCATATCCTCTCTCCCAGGAGCCAAATTATTAATAACTGTAATCTCTCATGTCCCACACTTGACACTTCACAAAGGCAGTGGTACATCCATTAGCTCACGTGGTCCCTCCCCTAAGACAGGGGCAGAGCAGAATGAGATCCTTCCTCTTATCCCCCCACCACCATTTTATAAGGAAACCAAGGGCCAGGCAGGATATGGGTTCTGACCAACGCCAGTGTGTTGGTGGCAGAGCCGGGGCTGGGGGCCACAGGCCAGCCGGTGCCCAGCCTGGACCCCATGAGAGGGCACAGCCCTGCAGCGCTCACAGGACAATGGCTGCTAACACAGCACCCTGCCAGCCTGCTGAGCCCCAGCTTTGCCCTTGAGCTTCCTCCCACCTCAGCGGGCCTTTGCAGCGATTTATCCCAAGGGTTGTCAGTTGCGTCAGACTCACCTGGCATACTTCCGCCCCATCCTCTGCTTCCAGAATTACAAGAATCATCACCATTACCATCATCACCATATCAATAATGGCTTGTGTCTGCTCAGCTCTCAGAACTTGCAAGCACTAATCCATCCATCAGCTCTTCTGAGCTTTATGATAGCCCTGGGAAGGTATTTCACAGACAAGCACTCTGAGGATCAGAGAGGGCAAGTGACTAGCCTCAGGTCTCCCAGCTAGGCTTCAGGGAGTTTACAGTCTCCTGGGAGAGAGAACCACACATCTACCGAGTTGAAGATAGGGTAAGATGATCGGGTTTGGTGCAGCCCCACAAGGAGGATCTCAATTTTACAGATGAGGAAACTGAGATCTTCTTACTGGGTCAGGGTTGAACTGTCTGACGCTCAAGCTCATGCTCTTTCTGGGGCACAGGGCTGCCACTGTCATGGAGGGACGTGGAGTTTCCAGCGTAGCACGCTTTCTCTCCAGGCTGAAGGGAGAGGCTGGTGGGAGGTTGAGGCAGCTGGACTCAGAGGAAGGCTGCTGCTGGGGCAAAAGGGCTTCCTGAGGAGGAAGCTCCAGGTGGATTTAAGCCGCAGAGAGAGCGCAGCATGGACTGTGCAAGGCTGCGTGGGCTACAGGAGCCAGTGGCTGTGCTGAGGCCAGGTAAGTGGGGCTGAGTAGCCAGTCCAGACACCCACCTGCCTGCAGACCTGTGCTTCTCCTCCCCCCATGGGGAAATTTGCTGTGTTCTGACCCAGGAGCCATGACAACAAAGAAGAGGCAAGTCTTGAACCCTTAGCAGGATGAAGTCTGTTTCCCACCCACCAAAGAGAGAAACTGCAGCCGGGAGAGACAGTGACTTCACTGTGGTCATGATACAGCAGAGTCTGCCCCTCTCCAGGCTCAGTCTCCCAATCTGAAAAGGGGAAAGTTTGAATTCAGTAAGCCCCATGTTCCTTCCCTCTCTGACCTTCTGAGGACCAGGTGTCCATCCTTGCTGTCATTGGCTCAGATCCCAGCCCCTGCTGTAGACTCGACATGTGGCCCCGGGCAAGTCCCATGGCCTCTCTGAGTGTCAGAGTCAGTGTCATGGGTGAAATAAGTATGACACTGCCTTCCTTGGACAGATTGAATAGGCCATGCATGGGAGCGTGTCTGCACAGCCGGGGGTCTGACACCCAGGCAGCATCTGGGGGTGGAGAAGCCTGAGGCTCTGACTGAGGCCCTCACTCGTCTGCCTGGCAGAGGGCTCATTTATAGACATCCGCTCCCCGGCTGCCAGGCAAGAAGGGAAGTGGGAGCAAAGGTGCTGAGGTGGCGGTTTGGAGCCTCGCTCAGGAAGGAGCCTTGGCCACTCTTCCCCTTCTCGCCCCTGCCCCCCATCTCCTGAGCATCCTCGCAGTGATCCTCACAACAGTCCTGAAGGTGGGAGGTCTGACCTCACGATCTCCATGTAACAGATGAGAAGACCAAGACCCAGAGAGGAGAAAGAACTTGCTTGAAGTCCCACAGCAGGGTCGTGACAGAGCTGGCACCAGAACTTTAGTCTGGAGCCAGGGACTCTTCCCTTGTACCCAAACTCAGAGAGTTCTATAAAATGAAGAGTCTCCAATTTTGCCTGGTTTGCAAAAAGGCATTTCCCTATGGGGTTGACTTAAAGAGGGGAAGGGCTTGGGTTCTGCAAACAGCCCGGGGTTTTACGAACAGTATCAGGCTCGGCATAAGACACAGGACTGTGAAGACAACGTGGGGCCTGGAAGCTACAGAGTTCTGCAAACCACGCCAGGCTTTGCCAACAGCATGGGACTCTAAAAAAGGCATCAAGTTTTGCAAACTGTGGGAATCCACAGATGGTGTTGCGATCCACACACATCGTGGTGCTCTGTAAAATGCAGGGCCCAGCAAACAGCACTCTGGCAAGTGGCAAAGACACTTGCAAAGTAGGTTGGTGGAACCTCCAGCCTGGGCCACCTGGACCTCAGGATTAGCCCAAGAGCCATCTGAAGACCTGTTAGCCTAACTCCAGGGCTCCCAGGTACCTGACCCTGCTCCAATTCCACAGCTGAATTCAGGAATATTCTTGGACCAGGCTCTGTCAGCCTAGGGAGGCTGAGGTGATAAATGAAGACCACTCATGCCTGGGGTTACTGTATGTTCCATGCCCTATGGGGCGTTGTGCATTGTTTCACTCAAAGATTGATGAGATGAACTTAGCCAGCCAAGCTGGTCCCAGCACATACCCAGACCAATCCAGGTATAGAACTTCTTCAGCCTCTGGGGCCAAGATGGGGGCAACTGAGCTTCCAGAAAGTCTAAAGGGATCTTCCCTCTCTCAACTATGCACCTGCAATCTGGAAGGCTGCTCCTCTGCCGATCTCTGTGAGGACATGCAGTGCTGGCTTCAGTCTGAAGGATTTAGAGAGACAGATCCAATTTGGTTTTCTCAAGCAGGATCACGGTCTGGTCTTTCTATCAATCTGAGCCAACTATTGACCTTTCCCAGGACAGTGTCCATGCGTTCACGTTTCTGGTTTCTCAAAGACTCATTCACCCAACAAGTATCTGTTGAGTGCCTACCATGTGCCAGGCCGATCTGTGATTGTTTCAAATACTACCCACTTCCTACTAGCACCCTCACACAGCCACTAGAGCCAAGTGGGGCTGATGTATATTTCCCTATCACTGCACCCCAAAAGTTGGACTTCAAATCCACATCCCTGTTTCATGTGAAGACCTTATTCCTGGAACTGGAAGGTTCAGTTCTGTGTCTTGGATTTGGGGAAACCCAGAGGTCTTCCTCAGAAAATGCAGCCTGGGTGGAGGAAAAAGCCTGGTTCTAGCTTCGGAGGTTCAAAGTTCACCATGGCCCCACCACCTACTAGCTGGGTGAGCTCTGGGCAGTTTCTGAGATTCAATGCCTCATCTGTAGAACAAAATAAATACCTGGCCTACAGAGTGGATAGGAGGACCCAGCGAGGTTTTACCTGTGAAAGTGCTGAGCTAGAAAACACACAGGCAATCCAGCATTTTTTCTCTCTTGCTGCCCTGTTGTGAGCCCCGCCTTAGCAGCTCCCTCCTCTGAGATCCAGGCGGGCTTGGCTTCTTTCTCACTCACTGAACTCACACAACAGCCCTGCAAGTAAGGAATATTGTCCCTTATTTATAGATAGAGGGAAATTTTATAGAGGGAATTTTATAGAGGGAACTGACACTCAGAGAAGTGAGGGCCACTTGACCAGTGAATGACAGGGCTGAGATGGGACCTAGGTCTGCCTGGCTCCAAGGCCTCCATCCTCAGTCCTCAGTCCAGAAAACTCTGGGAATTTCATATTTGCCCTTCTGCTTCCCACTGCCCCCCTCCACTGAGATGGAGCTGCTACCATAAATCCCCCCAAGGAGGACTGGCCATTGTGGTCCCCAGTGGACAGAGTCCCTCCTTGCTCTGGATCCTTGGAGCTCAGAAAGGAGATGGGGGTTCAGAGAGAGGACGAGAGCTTGAGAGGGACAGGGTTTCAGTAAAGGAGGGCAGTGGGGGAACAGGGGCTCTCCATGGGGCTCATGGAAGGTGACAGAAGTTCCCTGAGGGGGACAAGAGCTTGGTGGAAGAGGGGCTCAGATGGAGAGTGGGAACTAGTGAGGAGACTAGAGAATCAGGCCTGAATGACCCCGGGGCATGGAGAGGTTCATCAACATTTCCTTTGCCCCCACCTCTCCCCAGCCAACAGAGAGGGAAAAATATCCAAAGGAAATGCTGAGCCAAGAGACTAGAAGGGAACTGGTTGAGGGGAGGTGAGACAGCAGCCTCCACCCATCAGAGGGGCTGGATCTAAACAAGCCCAGCCTCCTACTCAACTCTGCCCTGGGCTGCCCCAGCCAGAGACCAGAGGGACTCAGGGAGAGGGAAGGAACAAGTGATCGAGGGACACAGGCACTTGGAGAGTGGGGTCAAGTTTAGCAGGACTTCCTAACCCATACCTGGAAGAGGCGGCTGCTGTCCAGTGTGGCCCGAGAGGCATCAGCCCAGTGCGTGGAGCCTCCACAGCAGCCCTGCTGTGGCTCACAGCTGCTGTCGCCAGGAGCCCCTGATAAGGCCTCACTCCCTCTCTCCTGCTAAGTTCCTCTCTTGAAACTGAAATAGGGGCTGGAACTCACTGCACCCGGCGGTCATGGGACCCAGGATAGGTAAGTCCGGACAAAGTAAGGAAGGTGCATTGGGAGGGAGTCTGGGGACCATGCTCCCAGGGTGGAGGGTGAGGCTGTAGAGCCAAAATGGGTGTGCTGGGGTCGGGTGGGGGGCTTGCAGTTCCTTACACACAGCCAGGCATATGGCTGGACCTAGTGAAGGTGTGTTGAATGAATGAGTGAATGACGGGAGGGGCAGGAAGAGATGCTGTTTACTCAGCTAGAGGCAAGAATCCAGCCCAACCTGCCTCATGAGACAGAGAGACAGAGAGGGCAACGGAAAGGGTGGCCCCCTGAGCCCCTCATCAAGCTCTGTTCCCCCTCTCTGAAGCCGGCAAAGATAGAGACAGACACAGCAGGGGAAAACAGAGATAGAGAGAAGAGTAGTCAGAGACAGAGCAAGTCCAGAGACATGCAGAGTCAGACAAAGGCCTGGACAGAAGGTTGGAGACAGAGCGAGAAGACGAAGAGCAACAGGTGTCTGCAGGAGCCTGCAGGGAAAGGGACGGAGAGCAGCCCCAGACAGAGGGCTGCAGAAAGGACCGGGAGAAATAAAGAGAAGCAGAGACAGTGAGAGAGAGAACCGACAGACAGATGCAGGAGAGAGACAGACAGACAGACTGAGAATCAGAAAGATCAGCACAGTAGAGAAGTGAAATCAGAGAGACCTATGCGCATGTGTCGGCCCGGCCAGTGGGAAGTGGAGGAGATGGGAGGGGAAATGTCCTGAAGCCCTTAGGAGCCAGGCCTGGAGCTTGGCCGAAGCCCCATGTGGAGAGGGCGGGGTGGTTCTGGGAACGGAGCGTCCAGCTGAGCATTTCTTGGGCAGGAGGAGGGAAGTGGAAGAAACAAAGGGTATTTAGACAGAGTGGCCTTCCGGGCTGGACACCCTGCGGCAGTCACCTCTGGCCTCCGCCAGCTGCCTGGCCTCCCCTGGCTGTGTTAGCCTCACACCACTCAGGCAAGGCCGGACTTGCTCCCGGGAGCGCGGCAGTCAGGGCTTCATGGGTGGAGCAGGCAGACACGGCTGTGTTGCAGCCACGGCTTGGGGACAGTGACATGGCAGGAAGGGTGGGGGTGGATGCTTCCTCTGGGGGCCTCACAGGAGAGATGACAATGAGATCAGGTTTGGGTGAGTTGGTTTGGAGAAGGGCCACTGACAAACCAAATTCCCAATCAGCCTTGGCTGGCTGCAGGATGGGAGGGTTGGTGATCCATGGGAGGGTTAGTGATCCTATGGGGATGGAAAAAACTAGACTTTGGTTGTACTGCACCTGCCCCCCAGCCACCTCCTCCGAAGACTGTTATTCCGACCTCTGCAGGGCTCAGCTCTGGAAAATTCTCTAGCTGTCCCCCCAACCCCCCATACATACAGCAGGAGGCTGACCCCAGCGTCTGCCCACTGGGCCACCAGAAGCCACCTCTGGCCTCGCTTCCTGAGTCCTGACCTGAGCTGCAGCCAGGTTTCCCCCATGCTCTCTTTCTGGTCTGAGGGCACACTGAGGAATGTGGGGGTGCAATGGGGCAGGATACAGATCCTGGAGCCTGGGAAGAGTCCTGGGCCCAGCTCACTCCCCCATCCACACCCTAGGGAGAAGGGCCAGCTGTCCCAGCCCAGGGGCAGTCAGATCTGGCTCTCAGCCGAGCCCCACCACCAACTCCCCACATGCCATTAGGCAGCAGACAGAGCTTCTCTGTCTGTGGGGGAGGGGCTGGGGAAACTGATCTCCCCAGGCTATTCCCATTCCAATTTGGTGATTCTGAGAAGCTGATTTCCCATCTTAGCACCTTTGCTCAGCTTTACCTCCACCAGGAAAGCACCTGCCCACTGGTGCTTTCCAGTGAAATTGACCCTGTTTTCCAACTCTTCCAAACACCAACTCTTCCAGGAAGCCTTCCAGACGGATTCTCACAGCTGGAAGTCACCTCTCGTCCATATGCTGTTTGACCCCCTCTTCCTAGTTCATCCCTCCTTGCTGCCAGTGTTGTCTCTGTTGTTCTCTCTAGCCCTTCTGGGTTCAAATGTGAGCGGATCCAGGACAGATAGGTGGGGCAAGGGAAAGAACCAGCGGTCCTAGGTTCAAATTTCAGCTCCACATCACTGGCTTTAGGAGAATGCAGTGACGTGCTCTCACCCTTTTTAAAAAGCGAGGAAACATGCTCAGAGAGGGCAAGCGACTTGCCTAAGGTCACCCAGCAAACAATCAGCAGAGTGGAGGCCAGAATCCAGGTCTGCATGACGCCAAAGCTCTTTCCTCTCTGTGCCATTGCTCTCGGGGCTTCGTCTTCCCTGCCACGGATCTCACACTGGTGAGCCACCACCCACCTTGGGGGCTTCTCCACTGGTTCCAGACAAAAGTGAGCTGTTCTCTGAGTGCTAGTGACTGGAGAGTGGGCAGGGTGAGGGGGAGTTATTTCCTCCCAGACTGGGCCTTGCCTGCTGGGCCAGATCTCAGGCTGCTGCGAAGCAGATGGTGAGCTTGCCTAGATCCCACAATCGAGCGCCAGGCACCACATGCCCAGTCTGCTTCTGTCCCTTCCTGGGACTCACTTTCTCCAGCTGTGCAGTAAATGGACAGGTCAGCCAAGGCCGTCACTTGGTCCCTTCCTGTACTGAGAAGCTCTGTCTTCGCTCTCTAGAGGGAGCCGTGGAGCAGAGGCCTGTCTGTCGGGGCAGGGCCGGGTCTCCCCATCAGTGTTAGGGGGGCTTGGCTATCTCCAGGGTGCCAACCTGGGCCTCAGCTGCACCCTGGCGGTGGGGAAGAAGTAAACTTGGTCCTGCCACCCCTCAGGGGCTGCAGCCCAGAGCCCTAAGCACTAATGCTTGAAATGATGGAGAACAATGCCCGCCTCACCAGACAGGGAGCTCCTGGGAGTAGGGCTTGATTTGATCCCCTCCTGAGGCCCCAGGACTCAGACAGGCTGGGCAGAGGCCGGGTATTGGCTACATAAGCTGTCCTCCTTCCTCTCCACTCTCCCCATGACATTCCCTCCCTCCCTCCACCTCTTTTGAAAGCCCTTGATATGGAGCGAGGAAGTGGGGCACAACGGGGCCCTTAGGGAGTAAATGTGAGCACGGAGAGGTGAGCTGAACTAGTGGTTGGGGGAGGCAGTGTGGCCTGGGCCAATGCCGCCTCTCTCTGAGCCTCGGGCTCCACGTTTTAGGCCTAAGGACACTGGGCTGGATTCCCTATGGGCTCAGGGCTCACCCTTCCCCCATGTCCTCATCATTTTTTTAGGGTCATCTTGGGTCTAGATGGGGTAGCTGGAGCGAGAACCGGAACAGAAAGTCCCAGCACAGGGTCCCTGACCCAGCTTGGAAACCACCAGAAAGTGCTTCGCCTCCTCCTCCACCCCGCACACATTTCCCTGGAGAAGCAACAGTTGGGAGGCCTGCAACAGCTGGACCTCAAGCACACTATTTTCCTTCCAACAGACTACCCCAGAGTCCTGCCAGAGGAATTTCCCAGAGACGACAGCCAAGCCCAACATGGAGACCCCCCTTCCTACCTTTCCTCTCCCCCCTCCAGAAGCCCCGCCAGGCCACACTGCGAGCACTCAGGGCCCCCACCCTGCAGCACACACCCCCTGCCCACCCACAGACCCCACACCCCACCTTCTCTTCTCCCTCATTCCCATTAGCTTGGTTCCACAACATGGTTTTAAGCTGGGTCAGGCCTTGAAAGACAAGAAGTGGTTTGCTGCTGGAAGGAAGGACACTCCAGGCTGAGAGAACAGCAAGTGCAAAGGCTGAGGGTGGAAAGGAACAGGATGAATTTGGGGAATGGCAAGCATCTACTGGGGCCAGAGAATAATGTTCAGCAGGGGTGGCCTTGACCTCCTTGAGGTGTCTGGGGGGCGAGGGAGGTGGGCTAGCCATCGTTGAGGACTAAAGTGTACTGGGCAGGGCATTTTCCTTTAATCCTACCAAAAACACTGTGAGACAGCACTCTTCCTTCACCAGAGAAGGAAACTAAGGCTCAAAGAGGTTAAATCAGCTGGCAAAGGTCACACAGCTACAATATGGCAAAACAAATATTTGAATCCAAAGTCTTCTGACCTAGAGGGTTTTAAGTGGGGACCTGACATGGTCCATCAGGACACACGACAGGGCAGCCTATGCCGGGGGGAGTTCACTGTCTAATCAGGCAGACAAAAGGGGGACATAAATAATGCAGGAGAGTGACCAGCCCTGTGGCCCAGAGAAAGGGCTGAGGGAACTGGCCTGGGTGGGGGTCCAGTTTATGGAGGTAGAGACAGCGGGCAAGGGCCACAGGAGCCCAGCAGGGAGACTGGCAGGCCAAGGGAGCCAGGGCAATCCAGGAGGCAGGAAGGGCTGAGGGCAGGGGTTGGCCATGCTGAGGCTGGCCTCCTCCACCCCAACACCTCCAGAGAGAGGTATCTGCCACCGATGTGAGGGACGGATTGCCCAATACCTGCTGCTGGGAATATCTCCCTTCCCAGGCTCGGGCCGCAGGTGTGTTAGTGCTGGAGACTGGTGGGTTTTCCAGAAACATCGTGGATCCTTTGTAACACTGCGCCCCCCCACCCCTTGGTATCTGAACACAGTTCCAGGTGGGCTCCTCCTTTTGCTCTGTTCTCCTCAGCTGGGGCTCATGGTGGGGCCTCTCGCTGGGCTAGTTTGCCCACTGGCGGCTTCTGTTTCCTTCTCTCCACACGTGCCTCCCAGAAGCCCAGAGGTCAGGGTCCAGCCCATGTCCTCTCACGGGCTCTCCTGGAGCCCACAGCCTCCTAGGCATCTCCCCCTGGGTGCCCGCCCGCCACTCCAAACTCACCACGTCCAAGGCTGACCTCACCACCACCCTACAATCCTGGCCCTCGATGGTGGGACGCCCAGAGAGAAAGCTGCGCCTCTCCCCACCCCCTGCTCCCCTGCCCCCAGGACCCCTCGGCCTCCTGCACTCTCCACAGCCGATTTTCCACGAAGCCCTGTCTATCCCACTTCCCCATTGTGGTATATTGGCTCATTACTTTCCATC